AACAATGCTCTCAGACAGGGAGAAGACAGTCAATTTTGGTCCTGCAAGTCTGAGCCAAGAGAGAATTTTAATCATCTCAGAGGAACCCAACCTGAGTAATTCCTTGACGTCATTCACTGAGTCTGTCCACTTCTCAGAGTGACCAGCTTGGGTCCAGGCCACCATGCTTTGCTCATTCTCTGGCAGGGACAGACAACTCTAAAAATATTCTCTAGAAGGGACTTCTGTGGGTTAAATATTGGCATCTACGTTTTTCTGGGGTTTGGGAAAAAAGCCTTTAGGCAGGTGGCCTGTGATGGGGAGTGGGAATCAGCTGAGGTCAAGTGCTCAATAAATTGAGTCTAATTTGAGGGCTCTGCAAAGATGTCTGGATCTCCCATTCTTCAGCCAGTCTTCTTAACTGGCTTAGTAGAAGAGAAAGCATTGTTAAGGCATATATTTCTAGTATAAACTCTAATAGGGTAGGGAAATCCATCAAGAAGAAAGGACCCAGGACAAACTCAGGGCTTTGATCAGTTGGTTGCCTCTGTTGGTGGAGATACAAGATGGGCTGAAGATTGGAGTGCTTGGAAGCCTTTAAGCGGAGTACTTAGACCCAGGATTTCTTTCTATATCCTATACAGTGAGATGACTATCCCTCCTCGGTGCCAGAGAAGAATGGAGGATTACCATAATGAATGGTAAAACTCAGCCTCCTTTCCTACTCATTGGCTTATACTCTACCTCAGCCCCCATCCCACTGACCCATTCAGGAGATTGGAAGACTCTTGGGACATATCAAAAGCCAAGGGAAAAGTCTTATAACTACTCATAGTTTAGGGTTCCCCCCTCAATAAAATGGGGAGGTTGTTTCCATCTAATCACTCTATTTTCAGGCCCACTGATGGACAACTCTGCCATTTCCATATTCTGATTAGCAGTTTATGACTTTCCTCTTAAATAGAAATCAGCAGTCAAGGAGAACTAAAAATGTGAAGCTACCCTTTAATGTGAGAAGCACCAAACAAGTTTGAACTTACTCTCTGTTTTCTTTACAAATTTCCTAGGAGAAATATTCCTTAGGGGATATTTCCACTAGGGAAAAACAAAACCTATGTTTAACAGCTTCAGAGACCTAGGAGAAGATGTTGTATCCATTAAATAAAAGCAGGAGGATATAAAAAGTAACTGTCGCAGAATAAAAACGAAAAAGCTCTTGGAAATTAAAAATATGACCAGGATAATTTAAAAGGCAATGAAAACTTGGAAAAAAAAAAAACCCAGAATGTTGAACCAAAAAAAGAAAAAAAAGAAAAAAGAAAATAAATTATCAAAGAAATAAAGCAAGAAACTTTCCTTGAAGTGAAGGACATGAATTTTCAGATTATGAGTGTTCTGTCAGTACTCATAATAAATAAAAATGGTCTACACCAAGGCACATGATCATGATATTTTAGAACATTGATGAGAAGGTTCTGAGATAGAGAGCTCGAATGCCTATGCCAAGAAGAAAGAAAGAAAGAAAGAAAGAAAGAAAGAAAGAAAGAAAGAAAG